GAAAATGACTCAGAAAAGGAGAAAAAAAAGTTTATTTCTCAGTATCAAAATTATATTCTGTATCTCATTTCAAAATTTACTGTTTAACTCTGAAAATAAATTCAAAAAGAATATTTTGCTTTTGATATCAAAAATAAGCAATACTTTATTTGATATATTATTGTAAAATTAAGAAAAATCAAAAATATGCTTTTTATAAGCGTGATATTTAAATTATAAGATATATCTTATTTGGTGTATCGATATTGGTTTTATAAAATGAAATATATGGTATGGCTATCAATATCAAAAATATGCAGGTTGTATCTAAATCGATGCATGCTAGTTAAATTCAGAAAATCTAAATGATCATTTGATTTCCGATATCACAATTTAGAAACATAGCTTTTTCAATGAAAAAAAAAAGAAACTGATAATGTACTAAGATTATTGTTTACACTATGCAAAAAAAATAAAGGGCTTTATATATCTCAATTATATAATACGCCTTCTTTTGATAAATAATTGTTAGTTTAAAAAAATAGTTTTACGTAGACCGAAATTAAAAGATATATTTTAATCGGTGTAAATGATTATTTTATGAAATAAAAAATATGGTAAGGCTCTTGATATCAGAATTATCTAGGATATATCAAATTCTCCGCATGCCAATTAAATTCGGGGAATTTAAATTATATTTAAACTTCGATATCATAATTTAAATACAAAGCTTTTGAAATTCGTCAAACACTGACTATGGATTAAGATGATGCAAAAGAAATTAAATTGAAAACCTCATTAACACCATTTGTAATGACTCAACTTAGAAAAGACAGATTTTCATTTTAAATGAAAAAAATAAAGTTCCAAATGTGACTTCAAGATTGAGGAAATCAAAGAGACATTTTGGCTCACGATACTCCGCATTTCCTGTAAACGGGAAAAAAGCTCAGAATTTATTCTGTTTTCCCGGTATGCCTCTGGGACTGAAAAATGCGAACGTCTAGCTTAACGAATAATAGAATGATAGAAAGTGATACAGAGTCACGGAATTTTCGGGAACTTTTCCAGGAAATGCAGGAAGTTTATTTGCAAGATGAAACGAAATTTTTTTTCCAGTTTTTTTTTTTGAAGTTTCTTTTCATATTACTGTCATTTTTGAACGAAATTAATTTCCATAGTATAAACAAACCTTGAAATTTGAAAAGTTTGGCAGAAATTTCCACAATTTATTATCTGGAGCACAATAAATTAGTTCAGTCGATAAAGTTATGTATGAAATAAAATAATTTTCTCAATATTTTGAGCTTAAAAAAAAGATTATGATTTTATTTATTTTTGAAATATGTATTTCTTTGATCGCGAATACCATTTAAAATATGTACGTATTTTTTTTATAAAATAGAAAAAAATTATCGAGAAACCTCGAGTTTCAAAACCCCTAAATAAAATATTACATCTGACATATTATCTAATAATACATATCATCTAATATTACACATCAACTAGTATTACATATTAATTCTGTCGAAAATAAAATATTACTAGCCGCCTTTGGTGATCAGCTTGGTCACCTTTCAAAACTATCTTTTAAAATACACAAACTTTAAAAGTCACCAAGCCGATTGCACAGTTCAAATATTTTTAACTGTTCTAACACTTCACCCTTTTCCTAAAATCTTAACATCTTAATTTGTTTTAAGAAGTATGAATTAACCAAATTTTTTAGCAGTCTAGTTGTTGCCCGTGGCTTAGCTTTGCGAGAGAACTTTGATTTCAAGTTTAACTATTTTCAAAAGATGTCTCAGATATTGTCTCTCTCTCTTCCTATGGATATTGAGACAGAGGGGTGTGATTGCTCTTGTTTTCCAGTGGCGCCATCTATGGCCAAGAATTCGACTTCTTCCACACCCGTACGTCACACCCGTTTATAGGGCAGACCTATTCATTAAAGATCCATTCATTCATCCACAGATCGTAATTTTGTCCTGAATCAGAGAACGATCAATCTCCAATTCAGTACCCCCAGAGGTATTGATCTGCTATGAGAACGATCTGTTACTGGTTATTATTTTTCTTTAATACTTTGTTTGTTTCAAATAGTATTAGTCGTATAATTATTTCTTACAACAACCGGTCATTTGACCGGAAGAACATATTATTGCTTATAAGGTTATCGGATCAGAAATGACGACGTAATGCGTGTTCAACGTATTGCACATTCGATTAGTTGCGCATTTCTGCAAAGACTGTTGCGTAGTTAGTTCAATCAGAATAACTGTGAATTCGAATTTCAAGAAAGTTTCTAAAGTTTTAGATTGGCATTTTTGTGTAAGAAAAAATGACAAAAACTAAATGTTCGGTAAGTATAGCTTATATATTTTATTTTGATAGCTTTACTTCATTTCTAACTAACGGTTAGTTTTTACCCAGGATAATGTCGAAACAATCAAGACAGCACAAGTTCTTAGAAGAAATAATATTAATTATAAGAATAATTATAGGAATTTTATTTCATATATATTTTTATAATTATAAGAATAATTTTAAGATTTATAGAAATAATAATAATTAGAAGAAATATGTTTGCGGAAAACGTACATTGGAAATGCCCTGTATATGAAAAAAATGCGTTGAGTAATGAATTAAAAATTCTTATTCTTTGTGTTTGTAACACATAAAAATTGGCTATATACAATTTTGTTTAATTATAGTAAAGTATTTTCAGTTTATTTCCTTCTTAACATCCATATTTCATACATTCAATCAAGAAACATAAAGTCCGTTCATTTGACCGGCTATAGTAAAAATAGGTAAAGGGTTTGGAGTGGTCAACTTAACATGAAATTTTGCATATTTAAGCGAAAATTATAAAACTTATAAAAATTTAATTACTATGGCATGTAAAAATTAACAGGTAGATAATTAGTTCAAAATTTATGAACCGTTAAATTTGACGTAAAAGTACTATACGGCCGATCTCCAGTACACGGGAATGCAACTACAGAGTTGAAATTTGACTGGCTAAAAAAGTCATATCCGTTTAAGTACTTAACACAGAATTTTTTCTAACGAATATTCTAATTTGTTCAAAAGTTATTGCAATATTAAATGCTTTTTTTTGCAATTTTTTCTCACTTTTTCTCTTTATGTTGATTTTAGTTTTACTGTGCAAAAACTATAAAATTTAAGAATAAAATGTATGCAGGAATAAAAAAAAATATTACCTTTGACAATTTTGAAGTAAATAAATACCATATTTGGTCAATTTCTGTAGCCTGTCTAAACGCAATCACGGAGTTTACATTTGACGTGATGAAAGAGCCTTTATTTCACAAGTTCTGTTCCAATTGACACAAATTCCAATTTGTTCGAAAGTTACTGCGAATTGAAGTTGGTTTCGTGAATTTTTTAAGTTTATTTACTTTAAATTTTGACGGAAAAAACAATTTAAAGATTTTGTGAGTTATAAATATAAAAATGTGACGGGTTTTGTAGTCTAGTGAATGGGTTGTTATAGCAAACTATTCATATGTATTGTTTCCCGCTATGTGTTTCAGAAACTTTCAGAATTTCCACTTCAAAACCGCTCAAAAATCGAAAGCTGTTTCTTACCCGGAAAATACGGAATTTTTAATCGAAATCGCTCTTAAAAAAGGAAACCACTCTGATGTGGGAAATTTGAATATGTGATACGGCTTAACCTCATACTGGCCTAAGGCCTTAATATATATTATATTTTTTCGATAAAACTATCATAAATGATTAATATAGTTTTTTAAGAAACATAAATGTTTTTGAGGTGTTTTTTAATTTTTGAAATGTTACAAAAACTTCTTTTACTTCAAAACTGACTCGACTCCTATTTAAATAATTTTAAAGAACTGTTAAAAACCACTCCCATGATATTTAAATTTGGCTGAGCTCTTTTCATGTATATTATTTTAAAGAATCGAAAATTTCGCGTATTTTTGTATGATTTTTTAATCCTTAAAAACATTTTTTTGTTATTTATAAACCAATTTTGTTTTCTTAGCGTCTTGATGAGAGAAATTTTGATTTACTTTCTATATTTTTATTATTTTAAGTAAAAATAAATTCTCCGGGAATTCTTTATTTGAAATATACAACTTGAAGGAAATTGAAATTTCTTAGAGCTTCCTAAGTTTAGTCCGTTTCGTTCCTCGTTATAGTGTCGAATACAGTTTCTAGCACCGTTTTTTTTACCTTAAATACGCTTGATAATCTTTACAAAATTTTTGTTGTATCGTATGAATTGATTTTCTTTCTTGGTACAGTTATATGAAGTTTTTTTTTTTATTAAACTGTAATTTCTGAAAAATACTAATTCTGAGTTCGGATCAAATCTAATTCATATGATCAGTACCTTTTTAATTACAATAAAAAAATTTAAAATTAGTAAGGTTATAAATTTTATTCACGTGACTGTTCAAGTTTATTCATAATATTGTGTAATTGAATTTAACTTTGTTTAATTTTCACGTTAATAGGTTTAATATTGCCACAGTATTAATAGGTTAAAGCAATATATTGTTTCAAAAATAATAACATGCATTAGAAGTCAGATATATATATATATATATATATACAGCACAT